TAACAAATCTACGAAAACTGTATCATATACATACGACAAGATCTAGAGACCTAGATATTATATGCACACGGAGAAAAATGATTTGGTTGGATTAAATAGTAATTCTGGTGGAAAATGAATTAGAATTTTCTTAAATCTATTAGAATTCTAGTTGAAATAATTAGATTCTGATTGATATAATTATTCTGGTAAAAATAAGAATTCTAGTAAATTTTATCAGAAATAATATTGTATCAACCAGAATTCGATTATCTCAACTAGAATTCTAATAAATTTAACCAGAAAATTCTTTGTCCATTTTAAACCAGAAACTTTTTCATTGCATCGAATAAATAATTAATATATTTATAATAACATAAACTATTACAATTAAATATAACGTCTTATAGAATTATGTCTTAAAATGAATAGGTTGCAATAAATTATATGAATATTTCAATAATAGTTTATTAATGGATTTAAATCCACGAATTATGAATTTATCGACTTTCTACAAAAAAAAAAAGAAAAAAGAAAAATAAGCAACAATTCATAATTAAGGATTGATTGAGAGGCGACAATATAATTATTACAGTTATTTTATTAGATTATTAAAAAATTTGTTTAAGAGTTATGATAAAAAAAAGTAGGATTTCTGTGCAATATATTATTCCTTAATTGCATAGTTCGATAACATTTATTAAATTTAATCAATGAGCGAAACCATTAATCGTTGAAAGGAAACAGTTTAGAGATCATTTAGTTCATTTATTCGATACAGCATATTTTCTCATGTACACATAAATACGTTAGACACATATACATCGGAATAAACATTAAATAGTTTACAACGAATTCGTTACTGCTCTCAATGGAGATATTTCCACTTGTCATTAATTCGTATTGATCCATCAATGAAATGTATTTTGTAATCGTATTTATTCTGCAATCTTATTAGCGTTTATATAGAAGTAGTTTGCAATTTTGCAATAGCATCACGTATATCGTACAAGCGTCAACGATCTCAAGTACAATCTTGCAGTGAAATCTGGCAATTCTTGGGGCCGGCGTTAGTCATGTAAACATGTAAAAAATATACAAACAAGTGCGGTCCTCCTTCCCCTCTGTTAATCTGTTCTGCAGTCTTCTTCGTTTAAGGAAGATTCTTAATCGTACAATAGCACCATCTTTTCTATTACGATTTTTTTATAACCGCACGATATAACGATACTTAAAAAATGAGACATACGCTCTCTAAAGTGACTCATTAAATCTCTTTTTTTTTCTTTTGTCTTGATTATTTACGCAGGCATGAAAATCGGACCCATACACCAGCTTGTTAGATATCTACGATATAACGGTACGACGTTAAATAGGTACCTTACAGACTGTGACTTTACGACAAACTTTACTGCTGCCGAAACTATAGTATAACGATAATACATAGATAAGCATTGTCCAATACCTTCCTAACGGAGAGAGAAATTCGTCGTTATGATATCGAGAGTCAAACCGATGCAAATCCATTTCGATTTCGTTATATTTAACTATATATCATTATCGTCGATCGATATTCGCCAACGTTGTTTGCCATTTCCTAACGAGACAACGATCGATCGAGTCTTCGTATCGAATGCGGGGAAGGTTTTGCACTTTTTTTCACATTGCTTATTGTCTGTTCACAATAGCAGCCGCCAACGAATAATTCGCTCTATAATTCGCTTTCTTTTTTTCTATTCTTTTCTCTTAATATATCCAATATGGAAGCATCGTGGATGATGGCATTACGAATAACGCACGGCGACAGCAATTTTCCATTTGACCTACGTTTATGAAATTTTATCCTTTCGCTATCCATGTACTCTTATGCATTCCTTGCAAAAAATAAGTGGATTAAAAAAATTGATAAAAATTTATTCTATTGAATTAAAAATGAAATTCCGCATTTACAGAATTAGAATAAACTATTATTATATCTTTATTTTAATTATTTTTATCGGTGTAGTATTAATACTGTTTATATTTTTCCGTAAATATAACTTCTTCAATTCCTTTCAATTTCTTCTCCAATTTCTCCAATTTCTTTAAAATAAAATACTGCATAACGCTATAATCAATAAGTATCCCAAGCAGAACAACAAGTCACTATAACGTTAAATTGTAAACGATTAAAAAGTGACTTTTAATGATCATTTTGGAATCATTTTGACATCATTTTGACGTTATCGTGACTTGTTGTGCTTGGGATGTAACGTTTTAGAATAAAAAGAAATTTGCTATGCGATGTACAAGTAAATATACAAATAAATATATAATTAACAAGTAAATGTACAAATAATTATATAATTGATAAAAAATCAAAAGAAATAAGAAGCAGACAATTTTTATGTCCATTCATGTATTAAAAATTTTGGAAGTTGTTTCAAACGAAATGAAATCCTATCAATATTCTTTAATCTATCTATTCTTTGCAATTTCTTTCGGTATTGGGGTTAATAGGCACAACTACGAATTCCGCGTCTTTCGCAATGGCGAAGTGGCTGCCAATCTCGGTCAAGTAATAATTGAGTGCGACTGGTATATCATATACGTTATTTTGCATTTGCCGGAAGTACGTGTCGCGTGACCGAGGAAGCGTAATACATGCGACACATGTCTCCCTGTTGCGACTTGCTTCGATTAACACAGTTCACGTTGATTGCATCTGCAATTCGTACAATAAAGCCTCGGCCGATAACGACCGAGCTGGGATATGGACTGGCTAGTTACATGAGAAATTTACACAAATAATCGTAATAATCGTCGCGTACTTCCTCCGATAAGAAACGACTCCCATGCAGCTCGCTATATTTCCTCGACGTATACAACTCGCACATTCAAGGATGCTGTTTCCCTCTGGAGTTCGGGCGGATTCGTAAGTGTTATTGAAAAAGTAATTTACTGTAACGACTTAATCCCTTCCGTTGGAATTAGCAATCTGTTGCAACAGTTGTACAAATAATGCGATCACGATCGTTTCTATCGATTTGAAATTACGCATTTTAATAATTAAGTTGATCCGGAAATTCATTCGTCAAATTATATTTTAGTAAAATTATTATTGCTCAAAAGAATGGAAAATATTACGAATTAAGAATACTATATACGAGAGGCACACCATATTCGCTATTTAACATGTTATAGTATCTAATTTGCTAAATTATCCAAGCCTGAACTTTATAGAAGAATACATATAGTTGAAATGTTATTATATCAGCAAATGTTTATCGCTGTATTAATTGCGAATTGATACGCAATTTAGACAATTATACAATTTATACAATTTTTTACTGAATAATTATCTATTGAATTCCAACGCAAGAGATTAACGATTGTAATAAGAAATAGATTTATACTATATATGTACCCAATTTCAGTAAACAAAACGTAGAATAGACTTTAGTGATTTTCTGATAAAATTTGTCACATTCTGTTTTTAATTTCGGTATTTTTAACAATGCTCGATAATTTTTACACCATACGTGAATAAATAAATTGAATTATTTAAATAATGACAATCAAATGCGTCTCTCTCTCTCTCTCTCTCTCTCTCTCTCACAAACATACATACTCATACTTACGCACGTACATACTTATACGTACAGAGACACGCGAACGAGAGTAAATCCGAAATGAGGGTCCACCGAAATTACAAGAAATCGGCGTTACAACATCCTTTAAGGTATCTCAGCGGCGACAACGTTCAACGTTAATTAGTTTTGCTATATTTACATTTAAGGGAAAGATCGATCAAATATATTGTGTGATATAGTTATGCGATATAGTACAATAGCTTGAGATCACATAATAACATTGAATTGCGATAATACAGGATACTATTGCTCATTATTATTACTATTATTATTAAAGCGAGAATAGTAATAACAATAATCCCGCCATAATACATGGCGGAATATTTATAATTTGGATAACAGTAATTAATCATATCAGAACGCAATTAATCATAGATTTAAAAAAGGAGGAAAATTAAATTCATACGCACGGCTCGAAAAATTGTCACATTTTCATCTCGCATATCCTTTTTTTTTACATTATTTCTATATATTTCTTCGTTTCTTTCATCTCCCGTAATTTACTGCGCCTTTCTTATACAGATTTTCATAGACATTTTTAAATATATGTATGTCGACGAAGTGAGCGTTGGCAAAGGATTCGCGAATCGAATTGACTCGCGTTTCGTACCGGGAGTAGGTGCGCAAAATTTCACGCACCTTGTATGTTTCGGAATCCGCAGTGGAAAGCTGTAGTCTAATACCGTAATAATCTCGTGCAATCGTTCGTCTCGGATGTGCGTCTCTTACGGATCCCGATTATATTCGTCTTTGTTTAACTACACGAACAAGATTTGGCACAAGACACCAAGAAACATGCCATCATGGCGTTAATGAAGACTCTAAATTGTTTAAGTTAACTGTATCTCTAGATTTTTATAATATTACGCTGAATATAAAGCTATGCTTTTACAGCATCATAAAACTTATTAAGCAATATTCTTGCAATTAGAGATATTAATGACTCCAAGCATTAAGCAAAATGCACTACGTTCTAATTACGTATACCTCTTTTTACTTTTTATGTTTTTGTGGCTATATCGAGAACTGTATCACAGCCTCAGCAAATATCTCGGATCTGGTAGCTTAGGATCTCAACAAGTACACACTTTTCTCATATATGTCGTACACGAATAGTAACGAGATATGTAATAAATACACGACAATTTTTTTTCAAATTTAATGTTTACACGAAGATTACACCACATAGAGTGACATGTATATATTTCGTACATGGATATATATTGTTTCACGTTATGGATAACATATTGCTACTCTACTTTCTATATTGCTTCTACGAATGTGTTCTATTTTCACGGGGTCCAGTCAGCAGATCACGAGAATTGCCATCTGTACGAATCGCGAGACAAATAAATCATTGCAGCTAGAGTTTCCCGCGGCGAATCCTCATAAAGTTTATCATATAATTCGCAAATCCTGCGAACGCTTCGTACCTCGTCTCTACTCTATCTTATTCTATTCTACTCTCTTTCTCACTCTCATTCACCCAATCTCTCTCTCTCTCTCTCTCTCTCTCTCAGCATTATTTTTTCTAATATAAGTTTAGATACTATTCTCTGTCCCGACAAATTCCACGACATTCTCTATACATTCTTTCTTGCATGCATTGAGAAATGGCGGAAAACGGAAATTAATCTCGAAGAATTCATGGAGAAACGGTGGAATTTGCGACAAGTTCGTACTCTTCTCTTTCTACTTCTTTCTTTTTCTTTCACATTTTATCCTCTCTCGTTTACCTATGGCGAATGAGATCAGCGAGTTTCGGTAAATCGTATGCGCCAGAGTACTTCGCGTAAAAATGTCGCATCGTTCTCACGACGAAAATACAAGATCTGATCGTGGCCGTATTGCAATTACGAAGAACTCTTTAAAGACCCGATCGTTCCTATCATCGGTTTCCCTGCAGCCATTCAGGGAAACCAAATCGGGCGGCTCTTCTCGACGTAGGACTGAATTCCATTGTACAATTTGTTATCCGGAAGGATACAGGAGCACCGATATACCGACCACGCGATATCGATTATCTCGTCCCATTACGTTATTATTCTGCCTCGGTTGATCCTCTGATTCATTTTTAATAGAATTATGCCTTCGACTTTTTTCTATACACTTATTATCTTTTCTCTACAACTGGCATTGTATATAACTATGCATCGTGAATTTAAGCCTTTACATTTAAAGATAACTTTTGCATCGTGTGCCTGCTCTTTATATATATATATATATATCATGAAACACGTCTACTATCAACGAATATATATATATTTTTTACTATTTCATGCTACGGTATAACGAGCTTTTTTTATTTTATTTTTTTTCCACGACTTTTGCGTTACTTTAGGCTTTAGACTACCATTACTTGTTTGTTACATACAATATGTGTGTAACAATAATATCGATGATGCAGAATACACAGAAAGACATTTCACAACGTGTCACCCTCGTTACGGCTATTTCTATCCGTGAATATTCGAGAATGTGAGATCTCCCGAGTTCAGACGTTGATAACGTGCGCGACCTGTATAGAATATTATAGTACTTTAACAGATACCAAGTGTGGTGTTGTGCGACTTTTCCGAGTCTATCTTGAAAGATCATTCGTCTCATTTTTTTTTCAGAATTGTCGACTGTCTCTATTAGGAAAACTTTACTAATACTTACATTTACACATTAGTTTGCCAAATGTTATCAAGTGCATGTCAACAGTTATGCTTATTGTCGCTGTATTTGTAGCTTCCTATCATTTATTAAAACAAGAAAATACGAATATTCCAATAATAATTAGAAAACGCGAAAATTAAGAAGAATAATAACATGTTATTGTCTTTCAATCGATGAAAATTATTGTAGAAATTAAGATAGACATAAAAATTAACGTAACATGAAGGCAACTATTTTCTGTACATGTTGAAAAAAAAAAGGGAAAAAGAATATGCGTTCTAAGTGAAATAACGGATTATATCGAGAGAACGCTTAAAATTATAATTTTACTGGTCCTCTTCTTCATTTTGGTAGGTGACATAACGCACAGATGATTTTTCACCAATTATTAACGACTGTAATTGGAGTGAGAATTAGCGAGAGGTTCTTTAAAAAGTTTAATAGAAAAATTTAATTGAAAACGTCTAGTATAATTTTACCTTTTTCTCTTCTTTGGTTGGTGGCGCCCTTAGGAAATACATAAGAGGGGCGTAAATGAAATTTAACAAAGCTATGCCGAAAAGCATCCATTCAAAACCAATACTATTGACCAAAGTTCCGCTCAATGCTGGACCTAGACAAGAAATGTTAATTTAAAAAATTCTTTTGTTTATATCTCGATCGTTAGTTATATTTTACAATTTATACATATATATGTATATAAGTATATATCTTCTATAATATTATTGATACAGTTTGAAGGACGTTAATAATGCTGTTAATCAAATAAAATCAGAAAGTTCTTCGTAAGCATCGGTGGTTCAGTGGTAGAATGCTCGCCTGCCACGCGGGCGGCCCGGGTTCGATTCCCGGCCGATGCAGATTTATTTTTTTTTTAAATTTTTATTCTTTCAAATTTATTTTAGACAATTTATAATTTACACCAGATCTCAGGAGAAAATTCTATTTAACATCCAATATGACATTCTATTTTTTTTAACTCTGAATGCGAATTTTACACTATTTTTATAACATTTGTTGGAAGAATGAATTCAACATCTTGATTGTTATATTAAGCATAATGACATTTTATATATATTTTAACATCTCTTGATCTTTTTAGGAATTAATTATTTAGTATTATTAATTTGAAAAGTAATTTAATTTTTTTTTAGTTATATTTTAATTATTTCAAATTTATAGCATTTAAACAGAAAAAAAGTAAAAAATTAAAAATATTGCAATAATTATTTTTCCTTTGTCACCTTATAAGAATAAAAAAAAAATTAATTACATATGTTTAGAGTATATGTATTAGAATTCCTAAGGAAATTAATATATGCACTTCTTGCAATAATGTATTAAACATATATATATATATATATATATAATATATATATAAAATGTAATCTTAATTACCAATTCGATTATTCTAAATGAAAAAGAGAAAAGGAAAAAAAATACTACCCAAATCTTACAACAATTTTGCATGGGATGAGCAATAATTCGTGTTAAAAATTCAAAAATGTTTGATCTCAATTTATCAGACGATTTTGTTAGCGTGCGTTTATCGAGTAAAAACAAGAGTAAAGAAAAGTAAAATGTGAAAGACATATGCGAGAATCACTTCACATACCTATAGCGAAGCCAAGACAAAACGCCACATCGCCAATAGCATAAACGCTCCCGTAAACAGCGGTATGCCTTATGTCAACCAGATATCCCAGTTCGGGCATCATCGAACTGTCCACCATTCCGATCGCGAATCCCAGCCCCGCATTCGGTACAATCAAGTGATCGATACTTCTCGCTAGAGGAATCTGCAAGACAAATGAAATAGAAATAAGATTAGGTAGCTTAATTAAAATTATGTTTCAATTAATGCGGTTATTTAAAATTGAGATTCTAACAACTTTTAATTTAAACGACTTATGCTCGTTTCTACCAAAATATAGATTAACTTTAATCCCGTTTCAATTTATTCTTCATCTCTTTTTTTAATTCTTAGAAGAAGATAAAGATTGAACCGAGATTAAAGTGGAAATGAGCATTACAAGTGTATTATTGTATTATGATTCATAATGTAATTTTAAGAAAGTTATCGAAATAGCATATATCACAGTGTAAACACAAATGTGATGTTAAGTGGCAGCTATTTCGCTCCCTCGGTGATAAAAATTAAAAATGCATGCATATACTTACACACATCAAGCAGATACCGATAACGACGAGTCCAATCAGAGAAGCTAACCATCTGTAACAAGTATATATCGCGATAAGAATTGTCGGACTATTTTACAAAAAAGATATCTCCGCCCGAACAGGGACTTGAACCCTGGACCCTCAGATTAAAAGTCTGATGCTCTACCGACTGAGCTATCCGGGCGATGTGTAGTTTGAGGTTTGCCGATTTCACCATTATTAAGATATTTTCGAGTTTGAAGGACTGACCTGCCCATTTTGTGCCCGAGCGGCCCGAAAAGATTTGTTCCGATCAGATAACTGATACTCGCAGGTAAAAACGTGGCCCCCTGTTTCCAACGACTTGCACCCATCGTATCCATCATCCAAATAGGTAGACTCGGCTCCAGCATAGCGATGCCCATATTTGCGAATGTTATCGCGCCTAGAACATCGATAGCTCTTAGATCTATTGAAATCATATTTTATATTAGACTGCACTGAGAAAAAAAATGTGTGAAAAAAATTGTTGATTTAAAAAAAATATTAATCGATTCAATCTAAATGAGGCGGTCGCGGACTATCAAGCAAATATTTGTTAATTCAAACAAATAACATATGTTTTAAATTACAAGATTTTGTTGACACGATCCACGCATATTTAATCTAGATATATAATTATTTGAATTAAATAATCACTACGAATTAAATGCATTTAGTTAAGTTAACAATTTTTTTTCTCAGTGGAGGTTTTATATTTCTCTCACCAGCTGCTAAAACAATATAGGGATCAGTGATGAGAGATTTTAACGACGGTGGTTCTGCTTCTGTATATACGACCGATGGTTGGAGCATCAAAAGCTGCAATACTTCAATTTTCCAAGCATTAGTTATTATAAAATATGCACTGAATTAGAAGTCTTTATTTTTGGAATGATAATATAAATGATTTAATGAAGAAATATTATGTGGAAAATATCACACGTATCAAAAAATATTTCTAAATTGCCGAGAAAAAATTCTGGTTGAAAATGAACAAATTAAAAGATTCTGATCATATCAGTCAGAATTTTGATCATCTCAATCAGAATTATTATTATCTAATAATTAATAGAGTTAATTGGAATATTTTGATTTATCCATTTTCGACAAAAATTCCAATGAATGCAATTAGAATTTTTTTCTAGTGCGTACATTTACATTAAATTGTAAAATTTAAATGCAGAATTATTTATCACTTATACATGTGAAAATTTTTTTATTGCAAAATTTGTATTTGTACTCACATCCATCGCCAAGGGCTAACGCAGAAAGAATTAAAAACGGAGCGGATTTTCCTACAAATTCGTACATTACTCCGCCGAATGGAGGGCCGATAAGAACGCCAAGGGCCAATCCGCCCAGCGCGATACCCATCGCGTTACCACGTTCTTTGTCATCCTGATATCTCTCCGCCAACATACCCATACCTATTGAGAGAATTGTATGTATAAAGTATTACAACCGTGTACTACGTCATCAGAGAAAGAGGCTGCAAATCACAACAGCATCGGTGGTTCAGTGGTAGAATGCTCGCCTGCCACGCGGGCGGCCCGGGTTCGATTCCCGGCCGATGCAATCTTTTTGAATTTCTTTTTGTTAATTGTTCTATTTGTTAGACAATTTTAGACATGTTATTTTTACAGTTTCTGTCTTTAATAAATACACGGAAAAATCGGTCCTGACGAAAATAGCTACCGAAAAATTTGCTACCTAAAAATTTTGCTATATAGACACAGATTTGAAAATAATTTCATTAGATTTCATATCAAAATAATTATGTAACATCAACAACTCAAGTTAATTGCCAGAATGTCCAAACTTTTACAGCATTGCTTAAGCACTTTACATAATTATTTTGATAATTTAATATTTATTTTCAGATGTATATTTGTTATAGCTAAATTTTTAGATGCTTCAGCAAAATCATTCTTTCTGCGTATCGTTTCTTTTTTTATTTTTACAATGAGTTTTACATGCTCGATCAAAAAAAAGTATAAGAATTTAGAAATCTTTGTAGGATTCTTTCAACAAATATTGCAATAATAAGGAACGCCAAAGCAAAATAATTTTGCATCGGCCGGGAATCGAACCCGGGTCGCCCGCGTGGCAGGCGAGCATTCTACCACTGAACCACCGATACTTGCGTAGAATTGTGAGAAATAGACTTGACGAGCGTGGAAACTTTCTATATTATACAATACAATAAGATTGCCAATTATGAACACCAAAGTAATGAGATAATACAGACGAGCTTTTACCGGAAACGCTAGAACATGATGAACCGATACCCTGCAGAGCTCGTGCTAGAAAAAGTATACCGTAGCTTCGACCGAAAGCAAAAATCAGCGTGGATAGAAACATGATAATGAATCCGGTAAACATAGGTATGCTGTATCCAATCCTAAAAAACGAACAATAGATTTAAAAAGTTGAATATAAATATTATTACATTTACGTGTAATATTTTTTTATTGTTACGTCGTATTTATTGATATTAGATTAAGGAGAAAGATTTGTATCTCACATATATTGCGCATAAAAGATAGTCGCACGAATTTTATAAATGTAAAACTTACTTGTGGGTCAACGGCCCAACTATGGGGTTAGCCAACAATTGGACAAAAGCCTTGGAAGCGAACATCATTCCTACTGCTACGGTCTCTTCTAATAATTCCCGATGTCTCTGCTCCTTTTCCTTCATGTCCGACAACGTGAGATTGGCTGCAGTAATTTCTAAAATGAAAAAAATCGAGCGTATCGAAAGATTTTGCAGCTGAATAGGAAGATCTTTATCCTTCTCTCTTTCGTCTCTAAAAGTGTTCCCTTCTTTTTCTAAAGATGTAATTTTCATGTATTAAGTCAACAATCAGATTGTTATCGGAATATTATTTTATTATTTATCGTTTGTAATAAGAAATGATGCGATAAAGCGCGCTTTACCCGATAGATTCATAGAAGGAGTTGTAACATGTAAAAATTCCAATGGGGATGTCGCCGATGTATTTGGAGCACAAGTGCATTTTGTCGTTGTTGTTGCCGTTGGCGATGTGGTGGTGACGACCGTAGTTTGGTGAAATGCGCCTCCTTCTAGATGGTCACTTAATGTTGCGTTAGGATGTTTGATATCGTAAAGAAACTCCGGTATTATTGGAACTGTAAAAATTCACACACACATAATAATATTAATAATATTTTTCTTATAATATTTTCGATCACGCTTATTATGCAATGTATTTAATTTGTTCACTGATGATAACTCGAAATGAAACTGAAGATTTGAATTCTAAAATGATTTTAGAAGAAAAAAACAATAATTAATTAATTTACTCTAATTACTGCGCTTAACTCACATTGCCCATTTACTTTTTCTTATTTTTAATTTTGAATATTAGAGTCCTTTCAATATTATTATATAATATTTTTGAAATATTATTGATGTAAAATGAAAAATAGGGAAATTTAATATTGCGCGAGATAGAGAGAGCACATGTTTCTATTTATAGTTTAATTTTAATAAACTTCTAATTGCTGCAACTGGATTATATAAAATCCCAATAAAGATATATATATATCTTTATTAAAGTTTATTAAAATTAAATTATAAATAGAAACATGTGCTCTCTCTATCTCGCGTAATATTAAATTCATAAAGAAAGAAACATAAAAAGTAGAACAATCTGTAGTCTAATACACATTGGAGGATTTTGTTAGTAATCGGGGGTGTAACTCAGTGGTAGAGTGTCTGCTTCGCATGCTGAAAGTCCTGGGTTCAAATCCCAGCACCTCCAAACTTTCTTTTTTTTTCCTTTATTTACGTCTTGAATAATTTTTTAGGATTTATTATCATAAAATTTTAATTACTTTATAAGTGCTGAAAATTTATTTAATTATCAGAGAGGGATTTGTAAAGATGAATTTATTAAAAAAATTCAAAGTATTGTAAATAAAAACTACTTTATTTGTAGTTACAATATACAATACATATAGATACATAATTAATTAAGAAGAATTTTTTACAACAATTGAAAGTGGATTTCACGATTTGTTCGACAACCGTGACGACGTTTGTAGATCGTATATTTGTTACGGAACGATCACGCTACATAAATGCATGACCACTTATCCGGATTGGCGGCGTGATATACAAAAGCCCATACGTTCTTTCGACATTCCGGTCCAGTGCGATAAACGAACGTTTTTTGAATTAAACATAAGTTTACGGACCGAGAAGAGTAAAAATCAGAAAAACGTATAATGTACCGCGTAATAATATAAATTCATCTCTTTAGGAACGAATTTTTTTAATTAGATAAAAGTAATTTAAATTTTTATTAAATTAAATTAAATTAAATTTAAATTTATATCAATTAAACAGAAAATAAAAGAATAAAAAAATTAAAAATATTATAGTATGATGAATATCGTCTGTTTTTTTTGTCAGCAATATTAGAATTAAAAAAACGAAACATATGTATATATTCCAGTGTCCCTGAGATTAAGCTTTAAATAAATATAATAAACAGTAATCAGTAAAAATTCTTTTACAATCCTTTTCTTATTTTATGAATTGATTGTACATTTATACATTATATTTACTTTAACAATTTATTTACAATATTAATCATAATATCTTCAAGAACATCTTTCTTTTTTTACTTTGCAGTCAGATATTTGGAGTATTATATTATGATTTCATCTCGTTTAAAGTCTGTTAATCTTATAATGAACCACGTAAAAGAACATGGTTGAAGAAAAGGTAATGAAGTTAATGATTCTGAATACTTGACCTACTAGAACTTAAAGTTATGGATTAAAGAGGCAATTCTAAAATCCAAAAAAGGAAACTGCCAGAAAGAATGAGATTAGCTTAAATTTTCTATAATACGTTAAAATTAATAAGAGTTCATCGATATAATTGCCAGAAATATTTAATGTAAATATTGCACAAATATCTGACTATGTAAAAAAATTTACATGGCTAATTAAACAATAATCAATAACATGTTGAAACTGACATGAGAGGTCGGAATTAATTAATGTCGCCATACGATATAATGACAGAAATATTAATAGGCTACGAGTAGCTTACCTACGGTCGTCAGCAACATGTTATCCAGCAGCAATGCGATGGCGACGATAACGAGAACGAGCCTCCGAGATTGCCGGCATCGTTGCAACCAACCGCTCCAGTCTCCACCTCCCATTCTCAAATTTTATCCTTCTTCTGATGTTCTACAACATTGGCAATATAAACAGCGAGAGATTTGAAAGATGCGTAAATAAAATTTCGTTGCGTTGAATATCGCGTACTTTTCGTCGCGCTCTGTTCTTGCAAGTTAAGAATTAAACCCAATGAAGACTAGATACGAGGTATTGATGCTTCTTTCACAAATGAAATCCACGTGACAGTTGAATGGATTTCGTTCAATAACAATACTGAAATCCACGTGAAAATTGAATTGATTATTATACAATATGTTTGATCGATTTTCTTCTGAGAGTTTTCTCGTAATATTTATGTAGATATACACATAAAGAATTATACCCAGCAGTTATGTAACAATGAATGCATTTTGGCACATATAACTTTCAAGAATATCACACACAGGTTTCTAAATTAATCGTCATTTTATAAAACTAAATAAAATAATAAATAACAATAAGATTAAGGCCAATGAGAGTCTGAAATCTTGAAATTCGGAATAAGAGACAAAATTTCGGAATAAAGCTGCACATCATCTATCAAAGTAAAATATTTTACATGAATTAATACCTATGCGCACCTATTTCCGATTATTTCTCATTAGCCTTAATCTTATTGTTATTTATAATTTTAAAGTTTGAGAGTCCGATTTAAATTATATTTTTTGAAACTAAATGAAATTGTGTTGTCAAAATATATCTTTTATTTTGAAGCCCAATTTTGGAGACTCTTCTTCAGGAAATTATTTCAATAGAATATGGGTGAAAATTTTCATAATACTGCGCCTTCTATTTTTTGTTATGCAAAATTATTGTTTGTTCTGATTTTTATTTACAAGAATATTATATTAGGTGTTGGAATTAATTCGTAGCGTTTTACAAGTGATGGGAAGTACTTTCATTAATGTATTTTTTAATGCTCATGTGAAATAAATAACATTCTTTCATTAAAAACGCTACGAATTAATTCCAACACCTAATACATAGAACTCCGCTACGTTCTGACGATACCGCATATTGCTCGCGAATGAACGGCTTTAGTTGAGTAATTCTATGTGGATTATACAGGATATCTGATTGTTTTGACAGAATTCGTGGACATATAGAGCGGACTAAACTGAGACGGAAAGTTTTCTATCATTTTGTAATTTTCGCAATAGTTAGCAAGATATTAACTGTTAAAAATTGTTGAAAATTGGTTTTCAATAATTTTTTATTCAAATACTATTAACTTTACAGAAAAATTGCAAGAGACAAAAATTATTTATTTTCTTCTCATAGAGCTCTAAGAATTTTTTTAGCATTTTTTCAGAATTTTTAAATATATTTTCTCACGTTGTTAAAAATAGAAAGTTCAGTTACTAAAAAGTTGATAAAAAATTCTGAAAAAATTCGTAGAGTTCTATAAGAAGAAAATAAAAAATAAATATAATTTCGTCTCTTGCAATTTTTCTGTAAAGTTGATAGTGTTTGAATAAAAAATTATTGAAGACCAATTTTAGGCAATTTTTATCAATAATTAATATCTTGTTGCTATTGCGAAAATTGCAAAATGGTAAAGGAGTTTCCATCTCAGTTTAGTTCGCTCTACATGTCCACGAATTCTGTCAGGACAATTATCAGACACCCTGTATGTATTAAAATTTATATCTAAAATTTATATAGGAAGTATCTACATAGAATTTTCGTTGAAATTTTGAAGAAAATTTATTCCAATTTAGCAATGAAATCAATTTAGCAATGAAACAACGTTGTATTCATGTGATATCATGTCGATGAATTTATTTCCATGTAATTCACGTAAAATATATGAATTCAACGTGGACATCATGTACCTGTTTTCATAGAGAAGTGGTAAATAGAAATTACGAAAAATCAATCAATCGTTCCAACGGAACGGTCCTTTCACAAACAACTAAACAATCGAGTCCTGTATTGCGTTGACACTTTATCGCGTTCACTACCTTCGAACACTTTTCAATCAATTACTTAATTGTTACATTTACAAACTACTATATTTGTCGATTTCCTCGTGTAGTTTCGAAAAAAGACATTGGACATTCTGTGAACACTAATTAATGTAAACACTAAAGTATCGAACGATGTTTTTCCGAAGAGCTAAGACATTTGGTAATTAAATATTAATTACGGTTTAGAGAATGATTATCTATTATTAAAATATTGCATTTGTGAAACATTTCTTTCGAAGATAAAACATTGTTGAATTAATAAATTAACAGCGTACTCGCGTATATTTTATGAGATGATTAGGTAATGTCACATAAATAATCTTAGATGGGTTTATGATTATTGGAGCGAAATATCCTTTTTGATGCTTTATGTTCAAATCATAAGGAATATTAAAGAACAAAATCGCATGAGTCGTTTCCACTGGAAGAAATCTTGAATGGGACGGAAATAGTCTGAATGCCGGAAAAGGCGCATCTGCTTTAACAGAAGATAAAATCGTCTTCGCTGAAAACTGTCAATTGTGGAAAGTGGTCAAAATTTGCGATTTACTCCTTCACAATTTCTTGTCGATTTGGGCAAATCGTATCTTTCCCATTTACCTTCAGGATTAGTTTTGAAATGCTTGCGATGAATTTTATCTTTTTAAAGATTTCACGCACATAAATGATGTTCGTTTATTAATTGTTATTTATTATTTTCTACTTAATTTTTATTTACTCGCTAAATAAACACTGTGTTCAATTTAATTGTACACTTTTTTTTAAAACGTGCATATCAAATTTATTTTAATATATTTATAGCACAAAAGTGATTATCAACAATTTAGGTCCTAATTTAAGAAATTAAATTCTAAAAATTTACATTATCATTTAAATTACTTTTTATTATTGAAAGAAGGAAGTTACATAAATAAAAGGATTGATTTATTATTCTATTTCTGTACAAATATTTTTAATGATATAGAAAGGTAAGAGAATATTATTCTTAAATAAGAAGAAAAGATAATTATACATAAATCCAATTTCACTGAGTAAATACTATAGCTTGTGTCAAATTTGTATCAAGTTAAGTATTCATGAGGATGTATATATATATATATGTGACATTATTTTCATAGATAAATGAAGGTTTAATAACGTAAAAAATAAGTTATATTTACTATTTCCAGAAGATTACTTTTCGTTTAGAAAAGCTCAATTGAGCGTTAAAATCAATGACGTTTCGAAGAAGATAGGTTTTATAAAAAGCTTTATACGAGAGAGAGAGAGAGAGAGAGAGAGAGAGAGAGAATAATATAAAAAATAATACTTTACTTTTGCTTTTAAACAAATGAAATATTATTTAAATGTTACAAAAATATATGAGTTTTTTTAAAGATCTTTATTTTTGTCGTTCGCGATTTCTTTTTCCACGCCAACGCCAATTTTTTCCTTTAATAATGTGTGACATTCGCACGATTGTATCAAGTACAGCAGTCTTAATTGTCGAAGTTTTCTAGAAAGCGCCCGCTTCCGTTTCTCGTTGGAACTCGCTATCGACTCGACGTTCGTTTAGCGCAATACAATTAACCGCATTAATTACAGGCTTTTAATAGTACCTGCGTCGTCCTGCCTCCGACCCACGTTCCGCGCGCGTGATGCCCGCTTCTCTTTTATTCGTCATAACTCGGTTACCCCACGCTTTTAGTCCACCTAATTTTCATGCCCGCCCTTTGAAAAGGCAGGCATCAAAGGCTATTGCGACTTTTAGTGCTGTCTCGCGCGTTCACAGTACTTTATCCTATTTTTCATTAAGAAACGTCGCGTAAGAATTTCACTGTAAAACGAATCAAAACGCAATTGATGCATTACATTTCTATCGGACACTTTTCTCACCTTTGATTTAACTTGAGTGTGATTCAAACGAAAGAATTCCTTCGATCTATCGTACTTTTCGATCTACCGCCTATGGATAATCGTATCTTTCCTCTTCTTGCTCAAAGTGAAAAGAATTATCAAATAATAGGACCGATGATAGCGTGTCCCTGCGCCCGATTTTTTTTGTGGAGACCCCCGTGAAATGAAAAGAGTACAAAGCTGTTGGTATCGCGAGATAAGAGTTGTTTAAGGGCCGAAAAGGTAGAGAAGAAGCCATGGGGACCTATACGCACGCACGCATACGCAAAGGGCGGATTATACGTCTCCGCCACTGAACGAAGTCGAAGATTGATAGCGTGGAAAGGGGAAGGGGGAGAGGGATAGGCGGATGGAGAATTGCTATGAAGGGAAAAGGAGCGTGAGAGCCGGGGAAGCAATCAGCATTTTCCTGAAAGCCAACTCCCTGGGGTCCGCGTGCATTATTCTCGGGAAAGACCGCTTCCCACTCGTGCCACTTATAAGCTCCACTACCTTCCGCCATGACTGACTCCCTTCTGATCCCCTCCCCCTCCCCCTTTTAACCCCCTTTCTTCTCTATCCTCCACCTTCACCCGCTCCTCGTTCTCTTATCTTCTTGGTAATTACGATAAAGAATGACCGCAAGACGCGCTTCTGTTTGTACTGGGCTTTCGTACTCGCGGCGCAATGGGATGTTGAACGTCCTCGCGACTCCATAACTTGCTGGCACAGTGCTGGCTATTCCCATTGGAAACATCCCCCGATCAATCTAACATCGTGTACCTTCCAATCCTACGGAGATCCTTTTTTTCTCTCCCGATTTGTCGCCCGTCTTGTTCCCGCTGCGAGTCGCGCGATGGATGTGTGCTTACTCTTTTAAAACACGATGGTTACGGTATATAAAAAGCCCTTTCAATCTCTTTTCCAAACAAATTATATATATAGCGTCACTTCTTCTATCAAATATTTACTTATGATTGAATGAAAGCTTTCTTTTGTCCGTAGAGGACGCGTCTCAAAATTAATTTTGCGCAATTAATTTTAGATTATTTTAATACAGGAAGACAATGCATGTACGATCTATCTCTACTTCCTTTCTTGGCACAAAATATTCGTGATGTATCGTCTAATAAGCTCGATATAATCGTGCATAATTGCAAGCGCGAGATGCGAATTTTGAATAAA